CCACTTAATCTTTTGGGCCTGCCTCTTCATAAAATATTCCAGACCACCTTTAGAGGTCAGAGACCCCAGGAATATTTAAGTATAGAGAAACCATCCCACCTTCGCCATTGCCCCCACTGTCTGCCCAGATTTGGCTTTGAGTTCTCTATGGGAGCGTTATCGTGTGGTGGTTTGCCTTCCGGTGCCTTCAAGGGCTGTGATCCATTCTCAGACAAGGAGGCAGTGAGCGTGATGAACCCAGCGTACCAGAGGGCCCATGAGTACGACACACCTGGATGCGTGTTGTTTCAGTCCTTTGGCTGGGAGAAGGTTGTCAAATATTCCCGTGGTTGGCTAGGGGTCAAGTACCTGTAGATGTTTTTGTTTTAGCTGTGCTGTATTTGCATTTTTTGTTCGATCAACGGAAAGCCGTTTCTGGACATTCTTCCAAAACTCTGCAGTAGGTACTTCCATGCTTTGGCTTTTGGCCAATGGACCGCCAGTGCAGCCTTTGACTTCGAGGAACTGTTTCTCAACACGATGACTGCGTATTACATCATGCTCATTTGCTGTATGCTGGCGCATGAAAAGCGCGGCAGCCGTGATATGTGGCTGCAATGGCTTCCGCAATGCACAGCCCGCAACATGCTTCGGATGATTGGGCAGCTAGCCACTCGCTTGAAGACATGGCCCTCAAGAGCAGTCATGGAACCATCCAAGACGACAGAAGACAGCATCGAGTACCTTTTCGGTGAGGTGAAAGCTTGTGGATCCAGAGGCGTTACAGGTACATCAAGCACAGCTAACGCGATTAGATCAACTCAGCTGATCCACGCGAAGAGAGCCCAGACCACAGTGAAGGCACTCCGAGTCAGTCAGTCCGCGGGGGGACCGGGATCTTGGGACCACATATCCAACGATATATATTTCAATGTATATATACCAACATGTACCAACGTATCATGTGTAGCCATTTGTAGCCCATTGTAGCCCAATCTATGATGATGATTTACGATGCTGCGACTAGTGACTCGTGATGTTGCCAGATATTCCCAAGATTTTCCAGTCTGAAGCATTTGGTCCAAGCAATCTCCAGGGGTTGTTGCCCACGTTCCACAAGTGACATCGTGTGACATCGGAGGGTTCTTGCACTCCACGCACGTCTCACTCATGTCCGGGTTGTGGATTTTGCTCAATGCGATTCTCCTCATCTCGGATGGGGCCCCTGCTTTCGAAACCTGCTTGCTTTAGTTTGTTGTTTGGACACCCTGATGCCTTTGACCCAATGTTTTTGATAGCTTTATCTATATAAATATATTTGTTTAAATTTTATATGTTGTTATTCATTTGGTGGTTCTGGGTGCCGCATGATTCCGCATGGTGTCGCCAAGGACCCAAAAGATGACACAACAACCTCACATCAGCCAGAGGAATGGTTCATTGCTGCAAACCATTGGGGTGAGATTTGCAAATTCGTGGACCAGTATTCAGGTGCACCAGACCTTCATGTTGTGGACATCTTTGGGTACAGCCGTTCCATCGCTAAGGCCTGGAAACGTCGCGGCTTTCGTTCGGCAGCATGGGACATCCGGCTGTGCCCATCAATGGACGCAGTCAGCCGAGCTGGTTGGTTTGGTCTCCTCGGATTGTGTTTACGCCTGTGCCTTGTTCCAGAAAATGTTTGAAGGATTTTGGGAATGCAAGGAAACTTTGTGGATGCTTTTAAAATATAATACAGTATATATATTTTAGTATATTATATTTTTATATAAAGATATCATATACTATTACTATCTATTACTGGGAGATTTTGGCCGGTTGTGAAACTCAGGCTACCGTTTGGCATGTTGGTGGCAGGACCCCCGTGCAGCCTTTTCATCTGGCTATGCTGCAGCGTGCATTGCAGAAATCGAGCAGGATTTGGTCCTCGAGGGAACGAGGAAAATTTGAAGGTCAGGTTGGCCAACTACATATCTGAAAACCTGGCCTCCCAGTTGCAACCATAGAGAATATTTGAGATGATTTGTGTTCAGGATGTCTTTTTTTTGGATTTATTCCAATGGTACCTTACATGTGACAGACCCCTGGAATGTTTTTCACCTGGAATGATTTTTTTCTCTCAAGCAATGAGGCCGTTTGCATCAAGGCTGTCCTGAGGGTCAGAAGTATTGAAGTGTTGGTGGAGCAGCCTGACTCGTCAGCTATGTTTGGCCTTGATGTGTGGCAGCAAATGTGGACCTTGCACAATTTCCAGTTTGTTAAAACCTTCATGGGTTGCTTTGGCCATTTTATGGCCAAACCGTCAGTGCTTTACGGCTCTATGATGAATTTGACTTGGCTGCTTGCATTTGCTTGCTGTCACATGTTGGGTGTTGGATTTTATCTGATTTTCGTGGGATCGGTGTTATCTTGATGTATTTGTGTTTTCAGTTTAACCATCAGACAGATGTGTAGTGACAGGGTCATGGTAATAGTATGTTGCAGAAGATTGCAGAAGCATATGAGGCTTGAGCGTGACCTCAACGCAAAGCAGAAGAGACGCATGCTTCAAAAAGTGACTCGCAACCGTGACAAACTGGAGAAGAAGTTGGGCCGACCTTTGCAGTTGATCAAGAAGTAGCTTAAAACAACTTCAAATATGCTGTTCACCGTTTTCTATGTTGTTCATGTTTGTTCGTCTATTTGTCCTGGGCTTTCGACTTTGGATGGCTTTGGACGATCATTTGGGTCAGGTCATCAAACGGCGTGTCAGGTGGCAAAGACTTGGCACTTTCAGCTGCTTATACGGCTGAGTTTTCGAGCTTGGTGTTCCGGGCATGGTTGCGGATGTGGGCCACGCGCCCCTGCTGAGGGAACGCGCTCAGGGTAGGCACGCCGTAGAAGGCTCCAGGCAGCTGACCGTTTGAATCCGTTTGATCCTGTTTGTGACATTTCTTGAATGGGCGTTTGGGACCAATAAACGCCAATGCTTTGCAATGCTTGGCCTATCTCTGCGCCATTTCGTCAACGTGGCCATATGGCACGGTGCGGCGTTGAGTAGCGCAGCAAAAGAAGAGATCGGGATGATCTGGGACAGTCCAGGGCCATGGTCAAAACAGTAGAATTGTGTTGGATTGTTTTGGAAGTAACTATACTATACTATACTGTAGGTAGATGCAAAAAAATGGTAGAACATAGAAGCGTATAGAAGCCCTTGGTTGATTGACTTGGGTTGATTTATTATTCCATGAGTTGGCCACGTGTCAGAGACCCCAGGAATCAATTCAAACAACAATCCCTTTTATGCAGCAAGCTTTTACAAGGGGACACCCATGTTCCAAATAGAAATATTTGGGTGGTGCCTTAGATGTGCCATACTCCTGGAATCATTTGATCTCTTTCAGTACAGGTGCAAATAACCATGCTACGACTGGGTGCACCTTGGCTGTTTTTTGGGGGATTCTAGGGGCAAGATGGGGCAAGCGTTTGTGATCCCTTGGTGTTCTTCTGGCAGGCAAGCACAAACCGTCGGATGACCGAGAAGGACAGAGAGAATTTTGATGGCCTTGCGCTGGATGCCTTGGATGACGCCTGCACTTTGGCTTCAGTGTGCCTAGAAGGGCGTCCTTCTGCCGAAATCAAGAACGATGTGACGGAGTGGTGGGACAATGTGGGTGCTGACCTGCTGTTGGGTCCTCGTGACATGAATGAGGATGAGGTGGACGGGATCAAACAATCCAGAATGGTTTGACATGTTTTTGGGGTTAGCTTTTGTAATTTGAAATGTCTTGTAGGATTTTGGATCTCCATCTCGGTATCTTTCGGTATTCACTCATGAACATACCAGGAGAGCGATGGAGAAGATGTTGAAGATGGCCCTGAGCCTGTTGCGAATGAGAAAGATCCGGACACCGTGAGTGAATCCTTTCAAATGGTTGAGACAGACATGCACCTCACCCGTGCCCTCATCAAAGCCAACGGCGATTTGGAGCATGCAACTGACGCCGTTGAGGTTCCAGACTCAGAGCTTCCCCCAGGCCCAGTAGGTGATTCAGATTCGGAAGTAGATGAGCCTATGCAGAAGGAATCTAGAGTTGATGCAGAGGTTACAACTCTGAGACACATCCTTCAGAAGAGTGGCTTCTCTACCTTCATGCCTCCCGCAAAGGATTCTGAACAGAACGTCTTCAAGCGCGTGAGCAAGCTGAGGCCTTACCTGCATGCGTTTGCGTGCATGGTCCGGGTTGAGGAGAAAATCCTCAGCAAGGCCAAGGTAATTGGGAAGTTGAAGCCTATGCCTCCTCAGCAGCAGTACGAACATGACTTAGCCAACGCACGTGCAGAGTTTCACTGCAGTGCATCTCGGCAATCCCGCCACAGCTTGTGGTGTGATTTCAGCAGCAGGGTGATTCAGGCAGCCAAGACGGCAGAGGAGCAAGACGAAGATGGATTGCCTCACCCAGTGAAAGAGATTAAGTACCTGATGCCAAGTAGCAGCAAAAATGAAGCAGGCCACAGACAGTGCCAGATTGTGGTTATCAGACCTTCCCTGGCAGCAGGCGAGGCAGGTTCATTACGATTTGGCAACTTGGAAATGTTATACTGTACCTGTTTACGTGTTGATTTCATTCAGGTTTATTCTACATGCTTGGACCTGCTAGGACATTTCTCTCCATAATTATTCCACAACACCTTGAGAGGTCACAGACTCCAGGAATAATTACATAAGGCTTTAGCCCTGGCCCTGACACAGTTTATTGAGAGAACCCCATATAACTATTTCACAACTACTTGAGATGTCAGAGACCCCTTGAATAATTTCAGGAACCCTTACCATCCCTTACCTTTCACAGAGCATATACCAAATGAGAACAACCCAATACAACCCAGCAGTTCTCGGTCTTTCTTTCAGGTTGAATTCTTTTATCATTTTCTTTTAGCAGCTAAGGCATGGTGACTCATGCATTTCGAGGCGGCAAATCCCAGAAATCAAGTTCCAAGCAATTCTTGTGGGGCGACGGCGCTTTGCCCATTGCAAATTGCACGACAGTGCACTGCAAGTTGCTGGTGCCACAGGAGACTGCTGACAAGGGTTGGGAGCTGTGCGTAGCCAGTGCCCTGACACCCACCATGTGCCTGGATCCACACAGCGGAGCTTTGTTGATGGAAGTGTCGCCTGGGTTTTTCAAGACCAAGTACGGACCAGACTACGTCCGTGTCTTGATTTCCCACGAGGCTATCAGGGCTGTCTCCCGTGTGATGAAAGCGAACTTGGCCTTTGATAGCAGCAAGAAGGCTCAGGCACAGACCAACACCAAAACATATTTTGGTGAAGAGGATTTCACCAGGAGCAGCTCAGGACTCAAGAACATTGTGAAAGTCTTGAACCAGATGAAAGAAGATTACACCACCCATTGCGGGTCCTTGTTTGGCAAGAACGGCTTCCTCAAGCTTCGCAGTGACATCACAGAGGTCACATGGGAGCAAATTCAGGCTCGCATTGGCTCATATTTTCGCCGCTACGTCAAGGGCCATGATCACTGGAAGAAGTTGACTCCAGAATATCAGGCCATGCCGCAACCTTGTGGCATTCTATTACTGTAATTGTGGTATTTTGTGAATTTTTGTTGTTTGCGTCGGTATTGCTACCTAATGCTACCTAAATATTCTTGACGTCAATGACATCCAATACACCTTTGAAATATTGAGCACATTTTTTGGTGACATGTGACATATGTTGGAAAATGTTTCCATATATATTCCTGGGGTTAGTGAGTTCCACCATACTGTCAGAATATTTTGTACTATACCAAGACTTTATATTTTTTATATTTTGTTTTACGTCATATTTGTTTTGAAATATCTTTTTGGTGTTTTTTAAATTTTGTTTGTTCTTGGTCTTCAGGTACGGTCTCCTGGTTCTCAAGGAGCTTCGAGCTGTCTCTCCTCAACCAGGAGACGACGCGGCCAAGTTTCGTAGATGGTTGATCAAAGTCTTTAGAGAATCTGAAGCACCAGTGGAGGGAATGTGCTGATTCTCCGTAGATGTCCGCAGAATTGCAATTGCAATTGCTATAATTTGTGCTTCTCTGGGCCATAGAGCGGTGATGAGCTGTGATGAACTGTGCCACTCAGGAGTTTTGTATAGTTTTGTTTGGTAGTGGAATGAGCTTGGACGTTTTGTTTTATTTGCTGGAACCATCGCCAATGGCTTGGACCAATCCATTGTGCATTTCAGTAGCTTAGGCATGATTAGGGGGTCTTGAGGACTGAACACTGCGGCACAGCACCCGTTGAGCACAGACGTGCGGTGCATTGCGGTGAGGTCTTCACTACATTTCACAACATACCATGGATCTTGCAGGAACAAAGCTTGAGCAGCGCTGCGTGTAGATTTTTGATGTCTGATATATGTCTTTTTTCCTTGGACGGTCTATGAACCCAATTGTCTTAGGATTATTTATTGCTTTCATGTCCAACCATAGTGGAATAACAACCAAACCTTAAATATTCTGCATGTGAGTGAATTCAGGATTATTTATTGAAATCGATGTGCCACCACGCCAGATTAATTCCAAAAATAATCCAAGGGGTCTGCACGGGGGGGGGTCTCCAAGGGCCCCCCCCATAAGAACATGAAGGCAACATGACAGGAACATGAACGCAACATGAGAGGAAATTAATGCAACATGAAAGGTAATGAAAGGATAATATTACATTTGTTGACTTTCGGCCAAGGATGCTTTCACATTGACAGAAACCTGGAAAAGTCACATTATTAGTACAGAGAGCCCACCGTCTGAGAAAATCGACAAGAGTAAAGAAAACAATAACACGACTTCGGGACATTGCAATTGATGCGGTGTCTTTATACTACCCCCACCTGTTGTTTTTTCTCCGTGCTTGGGCAGTTTCTTGACTTCAATGTTTGTGAGGGTGGCGTGCAGATTCTCCAAGTCCTTCAACTACTTGTAGGACTTGGGGGGGGTAGCTTCAAGGCGAGCTTCAGTCAGGCCGGCTTGGAGCTTAGCATCCGGACCATGTGTTTCACCACATTTTGGGCTCCACACCCCCTATGGGAACGTGCCCAAGGGCCTCTCCTTCCCCCGGATCTCAGACTCGCGCGTCCCACGTGGATGGGCTGGGGGTATGGAGGCGGAGGAGGCGGAGGCGCCGTGTCGTCCGTCCCAAGGCCGCTGGAGTGGAGGTCTTTGAGGATCCTCCATTAGTCCAGAGCTCGTTGGACACCGACCACAGACGCACGAGCCGCGCGTTCGAGAACGCGGTTACCGTTCCGTTCGGTGAGGGCGGTGGTGCGGCATGTTTTTCTGTTCTTTTCGATAGACGGGGAAAGACATCGTGTATAGTTGGCGTTTTGGTTTGTATGGTAAACATAGGTGCTACATGGATGGAGAGCATCAATCATGTGAAGCTTGCTTTTACTTGTAGAATTTGTTGGGGAATGTGACCATTTCTATGTTACTTTACTATGTTGATTCTTGTTTCCACGCGTGCCTTGCAGCACAGGGCCATGCACCCGGCCATGCACGTTCGACCGCCCAGGTGGCGTTGCAAAACTTGTTCTCCCAACGTTTGACGCCCTGCTGCACCGGGCCCGGCACTGCGCACGGCGTTCTGTCAATCGGGTAAGGTGCATGGACCTTTTTAAATGGAATTTCGACCGCCTTGTGACTTATGACACTAACTCACTGAAAGATCTGAAGGTTCCCGCGTGCCGACTTCCCAACAAACTTTCATTGAAGTCCCCCCTTCTCCCCATTCGCGACTTCCCACCTCTTCCCTCCAAACGCGCCGTGGAGCGCCCTAACTTCTTGCGCCCATTTGGCAGTCCCATCTCGCCGCGGCCTCGAGCCACCGGAGGTGTTTGACCCCGCTGGGCAGCTTCGAAGAGCACCTGCAGCAGATCCTCCGCAACGCCCAGCCGTTCGAGCGCGAGGAGGCGCAAACGTGCACGCTGCTTTCTTCAACGAGTGCCCTGGCAGCGGATCAGCTGGCGTGGATTTGGTGCCGGAAGTGGCCGGCAGGAGGCCCAGTACTTTTGGGCGGACTGCCCGGTTCTCACACACCGAGTGTCTTTTGTTGCTATTTCGAGGGGTATAGCCGTCCCCCCCTCACGATCTTCACGTCACATAGAGTTCACTTCCGACAACTACTGGCAAGAGCTGATTCCTTGGAACACCTGGCAGCCGCATGAATGACTTGGCGACCTCGCCCGTGTTTGTTCATCACCACGAGTGATGCCAGTGAAACATGTGTCAGGGCCGAAACCAGCGATGCCAGTGATAGGGATCAAGGCCTCCCACTATGTTCACCCCCGCGAGCGCGAGCATGTAACCTCGCTTGAGTCAGACGTGCAAAGTTGCTTTGATCAAAGGGACTCAACGGACCTCAAGAGTCAAATGCCCGAAGACTTGGTTGGGTTGGTTGGTTGGCTAATGCTGACACAGGATTCAGTAACCTCCCCCTATTCATCAAGCCCAGCTAGAGCCACCATACTAACCTAATTTAAGACCTGAATTCCACATGTCACATGTCCATCACCCTAATTCCATCCGGTGTTTTTTTGTTGACTTCTTGTTGTTCTACCATAGACTCGACCGATGGGACTGGCATATGTGCCCCATGTTCGTCCCCTGAATTCAAGGGACCCCAAACCACTGGCCTTGTCTCGGCAGTCCTATGGCAGTCCTGTTTTGGGGGCATATGATATAATATGATATATGATGATTGATATACGTGTTGCTTCACGCCAGCGTATCCTATTCGTTCGCTCTTACCCTACTCCTTTGGCTCGTTTGGAACACCGGTGCCGCCCGAGGCTCGCTCCGCGGCCCCGCGGGGGCACCGTGCAGCCGGTCCTCGGCCGGTCCGATGCCCAACGGCGGAGGTTTCGATTGGATCAACCCCCCACGCCCCGAGGCCTTCATGGAGGCTTGAAACCAAGCCGAGTCGACGCATGTCGACACGAGTTAGGGGTTTTGTTATGTTTGTTGATGGTCTCCTGGATGGTTTGTTGATGGTTTGTTGGTTGTTTCTCGATTTCTGATGCACATCACAGTTTCAGTAGGGTGTTTGTTGTGCCATTTAGTTGTTGTTCTCATTTCGCGGTAGGTGGAGTGGTGAAACCAGTGATGTGTCGAGTATTCTGTTTCCACCAGGTTGTTGAAACTGAGCGGAGCTGTTGAAAGGACGAGTTTTTGTCCAGACGCATTTCCATCGATTATCATGAAGATTATATACTGGACTCTCGCAAAGACCCGGGGCTTGACTTGCTTCCACGCAGAGCCTGGTCTTGCAACCATTAAGCTAAAACTTCTCTACCACCCAGGCCTTTTGCGACACTCCTCCCTTGGAACACACTGACTGACCGATGGAAATTGGGAGAGTTGTATGAAGGAAACCGTTATTGATTTTGACACTGCACTATCATCGAATCGCAAGTTGCTACACACGCTGGACCCGCGGCAGGGCCGGCAGGGCATGGCAGGGCCGGCAGAGGGACATTGCATTCATTGAGCTCCATGTTACCCGAACAATGGTCCATATTGATGAAGCGGTGCCGTTGTCATGCGTGATCATGAGTGAGAGAGTCTACGCTTAAGATGAATGAAACATTTTGAGATAAGTTTCATGGGCACCAGATCTTGATGCATTGTGGCCACCAGTCATGTTGATGTTGCACCGCTTGAGAAGCATAAAGCACTGATGTGCCAACGCCGTTTGCTGATGATGGGTTGGCCATTTGCTTGTGCCAAGTGGTTTCCCATTCTGCGGGACGTTTAGCGAACAGTGGGCAGGTGATCGCAGTTGTGCAGTTGATGGTTGGTGTTGTTGAAACATGTGGAGAAAGTTGGGCGGGGCCACACAAAGCCACACCATTCCAACTTGGCTTGCTGTGCTTGTGCGCCAACGACAGCTTGATGTATGTAGGTTGTTTGGATTCTAGGCGGTTAAATTGGAAACTTGCACTCGCCCAGTTGGTCGAAGCCGTGATAATGCCTGGCTATTTTCGATGGAATTATGGCACCCCTGGCTTGACCCAACACGCCCTCTGCAAAATTGGGCCTGGGCAGGGTCCAACACATAGCCTGGACTGGGTTGCGGGTTGGAAATGTCACGGCAAAGCTTGGGAAACTGTTTTGTTGGGGTGGGAAACACATTGTCGATCAACATATCAGCACCCTTTTCCCACGTCGTGTCGCATCATGTCGCATCGTACAATTCATGTGTGCAGTTAGACATCCTATGTCAATAGGGATGAGGTCTCAGTATAGTTGCTATACAGGTACATGCCATATAATTTTGGCTCAAGTGCCCAACCAGGGAAAAAGGAGCTTTAGCGCGCGTGCTTCATGTTGAACTAAGGGCTAGAACGGGGCCAGGGCACACTTTCCATCCGTTCGCAGGTTATCAGCCGTATCCAGACTCCTTTGAGCTGGGTACGTGCTGCGGCCTTACACAACACCATCTAAACGCACACGCATCGGATAGATCAGTTACTCTCAGTCACTGAAGATGGACCAATCCGACGCCAGCACTGCATCTTTTGGAGCAGCTGCTGCGGCCGCAGATCGGGTGAGTGCATCCCACAACTCTAGTCCAGGTACGATCGAAGCGGAGACTCTGACAGTGGTGAGAGAAGGTGCGACAGGTAGAGCACGAAGTCGTTCCCCGTCAGCGCAATCGACACCACCGGGGGGGACACCAAGGTCAGGCCGTAGCCCTAGGGAGACAAGGAGGAGGACTGACACCGGAGCTGTGAGAGTGCTAGCATTGGAGGATGGGTCAACTGTACCAGTGCCGTCGGACAGCGAAGCTGGGGATGGAGCAAGGGCAAGCACTGACAACCTACAACTAGCACGGGCCGATGGAGACCTCAATGCGAAGTGTGCACAACTACTTGCCGAAGTGCATATGTTGAACCACCAAAACGCATGGATGGTCGAATGTGAGCAGAGACAGAACCAGATTATACAACACGAGACCGAAGTCCACGAAGTAGTGATGGCACACCTCGAAGAATGTTATGTCGAAGGATATGGAAATCAACGAAGAATCTCCCAACTTACGGAATCCAGAGACTGTTTGCTCTCAGCAGCACACGATTTACAATACCAGATTGACACTGATCGCGTGGCAATGCGGGATCGTCTCACCCAGTTAGGGGAGTACGCTGATCGCAACAGCGCAGAGATGGTTAGTCAAGTTGTGAACATCGGCACGGAAGAGATCCAGGCTATATCGGCGGAAAGAGATCGAGCCGTAACCGAGCTCATGACTGCAGTCGCAGATGCTGAGAACATTAGGGATCTGTATAGACAGGAGTTAGTTGGACTACAAAGGCAGAGTGCCAGGAACAAACACGAATATGCTGAGGAGATGAAGATGAAGGAAGCAATGTATGCAAGCAAGATCAAATGGTTATCAGAAGAGAATGAGGAGCTCAACAACCGATCCTATAATCAGGACAATTTCATCATGACCATCAGGGAGCAATTGAAGAGGGCGAACGAGGAGTTGACACAGGCGAGGATTCAAGGATCCGGTCGACCGTCTCAACCATCCAACGCCGAACTCAAGAAAGCCGAGGTCAAGGTGAACATGTTGGAAGAGGACATTCTACGTAAAGAGAGGATGCTGAAACGTCTTCAGGAAGAATTGATCGAATCAAGTGCAAGTGAAGCACAATTGAAGGTCGCACTGGAGTTGAAACCACCAGACATGGGATCAGAACCCTATGTGGAGAACGAGATGATGACCAAGCTTAGAGCGGAACTTGGACGTACAGAAAAGTCATTAAGGTCCGAGGAGAAAGAGGCAATGGAGTACTACGAAGGTATGATGCAGAACCAGCAGGACATGATGGAATTCGAAGCGCATGCAGCACGGCTCAGAGATGAGAGGAATAAGTACCGGAGAAGGTACGAAGAGGAGCGCTTGAATGCAGAGAATGCAGCCGCAACCGAACATGGTGCCGCCTCATCCTCTAGCTCGGGTGGCTCCAAGATATCTCGGAAGGAACACGAGAAAATCAACATCCCTGCATGGCCCAAGATACACGACCTGGAGGTTTGGAAATCCCAGGTTGTAGCGGCAGTCGTGACGGCATCGGGCGATGAAAGGCAAGAAGATTGGATCCAGTGGCTCTCGGATGCCTTCAGATCACCATATGACCCATTTCTGCTCGAGACATCAGGTGAAGCAAGATTCGCTAGCATAGACGCTAAGCTAGGTATCACCCTGCATACGATCATCCACGCAGCAGGTGAAAGATCTCATGACGTACAGCTGAAGGTGAGGCAGATGATGCAGAGACGTGCGAGAGGCACAACCCCTGGAATGGTCAAGGGACGAGAAATGTTAGCGTTGATCGTCGATAGCTTCCGGAGTGCCGACAACGTTGATGTGATGTATGCATCCAAGCACTTATTCGATCTAAAGTTCCCTGGGGATAATCAACTATCCAGATTCCTTGGACAGTGGGATGAGATCATATCAGGTATGGATGCGGATGACATGCTTCCTGACAAAGCACTCCGCAATCTGCTTTGGGATAAGATTAAGGATTCCAAAGTTATGGCGTTAGATTTGTCCGTGTACGACAACATGCTGGATAAGGATCCGGATAAAACCTACCAGAAGTTACGAGAGATCATGGCGAAGTGGATACGGAAATCAATCGAGACCACAAACAAGAAAGAAAGGGAAAAAGCCTTTGGGAACCTCGTGAAAGCCACACCAGCGGCGGAGAAGAAGGACCCTAAGGCGAAACCCAAGAATACCAAGGCCGATCCACCGAAGGACGCCGCTCCAGTACTTCCTCAGGCTAATCCGAAGGACCACAACAAGAAGGACAAGAAGCAGGATCGTGGAAGATCAACCACGAAGAGCCCAAAGGGGGATCGTGGCAGGTCAGCGACTCCAGCAGATACGTCCAAGATAGGATGCGCCTTCCACTTCCATGGGAAAAACGGATGTTCTAGAGGAGATAAATGCAAGTTTAGTCACCAAGAGAAGCACAAAAGTTCTGCTAAGAAACCAGAAAGCCTCAAGGGTGACAGATCAAAGAGTCCTGGTGGCAGGAGCACTAGCCCTAAGTCAATGAAGGATCAGGTCTGCTGGAATTGGCAGAAAGGATCGTGCAAGTTCGGGGACAAATGTCGACGTCAGCATCACGCTGCTCCTGCTACAAAACAAGAGGCTAAAGGCAAAGCCAAGCCCAAACCGGCTGCGCCGGCCTTCATGCTTTGCGGAGACATCGAGAGTGACGGCGAGGACGTGCAACCCGCACTTCCCAACGTACAACAAGGTGAGCTGGCGCTTCGCTTTAAAGTCAGATTCGATGACCGGGCGAATGTGACCACGTTTACCTGCGATCCTGGTAACGAGCTAAATACCCGTCCCCTCAGGAAGAAGAAGGATGAAGTGCAGAAGGTGGATACCGAGCTCATTTCATCGTTGAGAGCCCTAAGAGTGAACAATATAGCTGCACGAGTAGCACATGCCAAAGGTAAGATGATGGAGCTATACTCTGCTGAACACATTGCCAAGGCATGGATACAAACCACTCAAGATGAAGGGATCGAGGTGAACGTCGACCTGTCTGACTTCAACACCAGCGAGGTAGTAAGGAAGGATTCTGTCAACTACACGATACCAGGAGACATGATGTTCATGGCTGTGGAGAGGTATGATGGACCACCGATACGCTTCATCATGGATACGGGATGTGGACACGACTTGATCTCAAGAGAGAAAGTCAACGCCATGGGCCTTACCACTAAGGAAGGACCCAAATCCGTGAGCTTCATGACAGCAAATGGTGTAACTAGTACATCAGAGATGGTGGACATCAATGTGGACGAACTACCCATGATGTCCGAGGCACACGTGTTGGAGAGCACACCATCAGTCTTCTCCATCGGGAAACGGTGCAT